ATAGTTTCTGTTACATTAGGAACAACAGAAAGGCTAACAAGTCTGCAAGAAATATCTTCAAAAATATGTTTTGAAAAGCTGCCTTATAAATAAATATAAATATAATAATAATAATAATAATAATAAATATAATACATATATTATAATAAATACAAATATAATATATATATATATATATATATATAATATAATAAATATAAATATAATACATATAATATAATAAATACAAATGTAATATATATATATATATATATATATATATATATATATATATATATATATATATATATAATATAATAAAAATAGATATATTTTTATTTATATAAAATATTTGTAATTATTATATAATAAACATTGTTGATTCACCTGTAAAGATTGCACGCTCAAAATCAAGCCGTACAGTAAATTCTCCCTAATTGTCCCTCAGATTGTTCCCAAAAATAGACAATTTGGGGAAAGGAGATACGATTGTTCGACCCTCGTGGCTCATTTTTACAGTCGCTGACAATCGGTAACTATAAAAACGATCCGCAAGACTCGAATATCAGCTCGAAATCTCCTCCTCCCAGATCGTCAATTTTTTGGTGTACGATCCGAACATCAATTAAGGAGAATTTACAGCAATACCTTGCACAGAGCCGACGTTACCTGTGAGGTAACGACGCAGCCGGTATGCCACCATCCGGAAATAGAACAGGAAATTCGCATGACTTATGGGATAACCTGCTAGTTCTAGAGAGCGCGCGCGAACAATGTATAAAAAGAAGTTATTATATCGCGGTCGTAAATAGCCGCTTACGCGCGACACGCGCGCGTCGAGTTCCCGGAACGATCCTGGAATGCGTCGGGAACTACCTGTCCAGGGTCCTGACGCAAACCGGAGAGACAATTGCGTGCGAAAATCCCCGACGATCTCGCCGCTGCGGCCGCCGCGGCATAGGCGCGCACACGGCGACCGGTAAACCCGGCCGGCCGCGCGGACGGATAACGAGCCGCGCGCGGTGACGCGCGAGCGCGTCTATTAACGAATTACCCCGGAGTTTGATAATTCCTCTAATTAGCCGATGTAAATGGAACGGACGGGACTGGTCGTTGTCGTCAGCCTCCACCGGATACGTGTCGTGGACGCCTCGTCCACGCTTCGCCAAACGGAACCGGCGCGCCGCGACGCGACGCCGCGCGTCCCGATGAAAAACGCGCTGAAAAACCGCTCGCTCGGCTCGGCTCGGCCTCTGGCGACACCGTGTCGCCGATCCGTGTCGCTGCAAAAATCCCGATCGATACAGTCATTCGACCGGGTCAGTCACCTCCGCGCGTTCCTCGCCTCAACACCCTTCGCGGAATGTGTCCCATCGGACAGGTCCGCCGCGCGGCTCGTCTATCATTAGAACGATTCACGTGTGTTTCACGTGGAAAACGGTCGACGATCGAGCTCCGCGGGCATATCGGTCCAAGGTGCGCGGTCAGAAAATTGCCGTAGAATCGAAGCCGAGTAACCCCGTTCGTGTCGTTCCGAGCAGCGAGATCGCGACCTTTCGAATTCGTGTCGGAAAAGTCCGAGGACGTTTGAACGCTGCGGACGACTGACGGCGCACTCGCGGATCGTCGAAGTATAGTAAATAAGTATAGCTAATTGATCCTCGGTTTGGAGACAAAAGTGAATAATTTGGGAACAGGGAGCCCGTTTTTATAGTTGTCGATAATCGGTAATTTATTTATATCAAATATATTATTATATATATTATTTATATCTAATTATTTAGATGCAAACTTTGTACACGATAAAACCATCACAAAGCATCATGAATAGGGGAGATGTCCCAGTCTCTGTGCCCCCGGAATGGAAATGTATAGAAGAAAACACGTTTCTTATGTAAATTGATGATTTGTATCTTTTTATTACGTTTGCTTATTATCGTGCAAGATTTCGAGATAAGTGTTATTATATAGAGATAAGTGTTATAATACATTGTTTATAGTATAGTAAAGTCTGATAAATATTTTTCAATCGATGCTACAGCAGCTGCGACGAGTTTAAGGTAGCATGTCTTGTCAAATATCGGAAGAGACGCTTGCAGAAGATTTCTGTATAAATCAATTATTAATGTTTAATTATTTTATTTGATTATTCCGTTCAATTATTTTTTAATTAAATTCAATGATCCCCGGAACTCGAACGGTTAGGGAAGGGTAGATCATGAAAGACGAAGAAAAAAAAAATAAAAAGATGTCAAGCGAGATGTCTATTAACGATTATTGTCGGATCGGGGATAATGATTAATGATTGTCAAAAAATTCTCAGAAGATTTAAGGATTAAAGAAGAGTAGGTCATAGAGGGATGAATAGAAGGATGTTAAGAAAAATGAATATTAATGATTATTGTCGGATCGAGGATAACGATTAACGACTGTTAACAAATTAACAATCAAGCTCCAACCATATCAACGTAAAATACACGATCAAAAAATTCTCAGCAATTTAGAGTATTAAAAAGGGGTTAATCACGGAAGAATGAATAGAAAGATGTCAATCAAGATGCCTATTAACGATCATAATCAGATCAAGGACAACGATCAACGATTGTTAACGATTCTTATCGGACGAAGGATAACGATTAACGATCAAGCTCCGATCGTATCGACGTAAAACACACGATCAAAGCATTCCCAGAAGTATAAAGGATCAAGACAGAGTAGATCACAGAATACGAATAGAAATACGTGAAGTAAGATGTCTATCAAGAATTATTGTCGGATCCAAAGTAGGCTGCAATTATCTCTAATCGTTCAGCAAACTTTTCTATCCTCGGTCTCCGTCGTTCCGTAGTTCGTTACTCGTGTCGCGCTGCCGCTGCTACTCGATTTCTGCTTCGAAAGCATTCGGAACCGATTAATCTTCGTGCCCGTCGTATTTCTCGATTTTTTACCGTGTCATATTCTGCGGAACGAGAATAAATCAATCCTCCTCGTTCGCAAGACGTTCGACCGCAACGCGGTTCGATATCTTCCTGTGCATCGTCTACGATTCATTCTCTCGAAGCGCGACGTGATAAATGAAGAACAATCCGTTGATTCGCGGCGCGAATCGAAGCGATAATAATCGATAACGATTGTCCGGAGTTTGTTCAGCTGCTCTTCTTGCTTGAGCTGCCATAGTTAAAAACCGACTACAGTAATGTCTCCCTAATTGACGCTCAGATTGTTCCCAAAAATGGACAATCCGGGAAGAGGAGATACGATTATTCGAGCCTTGCGGCTCGCTTTTATAGTTGTTGAAAATCGATAAACATAAAAAACGAGCTACAAGGTTGTTGATAATTGGCGACTATAGAAACGAGCCGCAAGGCTCGAATGATCGTATCTCCTCTTCTCAAATTGTCCATTTTTGCGTGCAATATGAACGTCAATTAGGGAGAATTTACTGTACTATAAACACGTACTTCATTTCTCTTTATAGAAGTAACAATAATACATTCCTTCGGATTTTTAACGATTTCCATCGTAATATTTTCCCCAAGAAACAACTGTATTTGATAAATTCCTGATTAACGTGTCCTTGCAACTTTAATAATCCTAAAAAAGGAACAAATTTAACCCCGTCATTCTCCTGTAAACGAAGTATTAAAAGTCAATGAACAATCCTCAGCGAAGCCTTTTGCACTAACACGCGATCTGCTACTTAACACAGTCGTTTAAATGATTGAATTTAGAATTTTACACTTATCGACAAAAGTTAAGAGGCTTCACATATCGTTAACATTTGACTAGAGTTCGACATTTTCAGAAATATACTTCTTATTCAATTAAAAGTACACATTACAGCGAAGCATATGACACATCGTTTGTATTTCAATGTAGTTTCACTCAGAACTAACTAGAATAAACAGAAGTTTAAGTGAAAAAAAGAAGTCCAAATATAAAGTAGAAGTTAAACAATTAAAAAAAAGAAAAGAATTAATATTTTCGTAGACGCGGTCAAATTTGTTCTCCTGCGTTAAGAAAGTCTACTACACCGAACAATATGTTTCTTAACTTCTGTCGGCAAGTGTAGCACGCTAAGTGAGCGGTTCCAGACGCAGCTATTTAAACGATCGAATAGAGCAGACGCAGATAGCTAAGGGACCCGATTAAATCGCAGCGAACAGAATGATACTCCAGAGAAATTTCAGGAGCAGTCGATTCACGACTGCTCGCAGATTCGTCAATATGTTCGCGCGACATCGAACATATTACCGCGGTACAGTAATGTCTCTCTAATTGACGCTCAGATTGTCCCCAAAAATGGACAATTTTGGAAAAGGAGATACGATTGTTCGAGCCTTGTGGCTCGTTCTTTTATGGTTATCGATTGTCAATAACTATAAAAACCTGGGATAATCGAGGCTATAATAAGGCTATAATAAAAAATAATATAAAATAAATAATAATATATAATATATATTATAATAGATATATATATATATATATATATATATATATATATATATATATATATATATATATATATA